ATCCCCGTTACATGAAAACGTTTTATTTAAGTTTGTAATAGAAAAGTATAGTATAATTAGTATAGTTTAAACTCACTGAAATAGCTATACAAAATAAGACCAGATCTTTTATAACTATATTTTATTTATAAATTTCTTTACTTTTATAACGATATTTTAATAACAAAGTTTAACACCTATTTAGCTCATATTACTTATATAAAGTTTAAAAGTTTAACGCAATTTTAAATTATTTAAGTTTTAAAACTTAAATAAATTAAAATTACACTAACCAAATCAAAGAAACTATTAGACAAGATCTAACAGTTTAAAATTTGTTTACTTAGACGGTTGGGTAGGTATTTTCTTAAACTCATATCTCACAACACGTTTCAATATATAACAGTTGGGCTGAAAAGTTCGTATCGTTTCTAAGAAATGGCGCCACTAGAATTAAATTGTAGTGGCGCCATTTCTTAGAAACCATTTTTAGTTAGTACCAACCTTGAAAAGATACGTGTAAAAATTTGACAGCTGTCAGATTATTAGTTTGTGATATATTGCTCTAGTAGTGACGCTACTTTTGTTATTGTGAAAAAAATGGAAAAAAAGAATTTCGTGTGTTGATGAAACATTACTTTTTAATGAAAAAAAGTGCTTCCGATACCAAAAAATGGCTTGATGAGTGTTATCCAGACTCTGCACCAGGCGAAGCAACAATTCGTAAGTGGTTTGCAAAATTTTGTATTGGTCATATGAGCACCGAAGACGATGAACGCAGTGGACGCCCAAAAGAGGCTGTTACCGATGAAAATGTGAAAAAATTTCACAAAATAATTTTGAATGATCGTAAAGTGAAGTTGTTGGAGATAGCTGGCACCTTAAAGATATCAAACGAACGCGTTGGACATATTATTCATGAATATTTGGATATGAGAAAGCTCTGTGCTAAATGGGTGCCGCGTGAACTCACAATCGATCAAAAGCAACAACGAATTGATGATTCTGAGCAGTGTTTGTAGCTGTTATATCGAAATAGAACCAATTTTTTTTGTCGATACATAACAATGGATGAAACATGGCTCCATCACCACACTGCGGAATCCAATCGACAGTCAGCTGAGTGGACTGCACGCGATGAACCGACTCCAAAGCGTGGAAAGACTCAACAATCGGCTGGGAAGGTTATGGCCTCTGTTTTTTGGGATACGCATGGTATAATTTTCATCGGTTACCTTGAGAAGGAAAAATTCCTCAATAGTGACTATTCCATTGCGTTATTGTAGGGTTTGACGGATGAAATTGCAAAAAAATGACCTCATTTGAAGATGAAAAAAGTTCTGTTTCATCAAGACAACGCACCGTGTCACAAGTCAATGAATACGATGCTTAAATTGAACGAACTATACTATATATATATATATATATATATATATATATATATATTATATATATATATATGTATATATATATATATATATATATATATATATGTATATATATATATATATATATATATATATATATATATATATACATGTATATATATATATATATATATATATATATATATATATATATATATATATATATATATATATATATATATATATATATATATATATATATATATATATATATATATATATATATATATATATATATATATATATATATATATATATATATATATATATATATATATATATATATATGTATAAGACTAGGACAGCCCAAAGTCGACAAACTATGTCTCTATAACCATCGTCAAGTCGACAATTTTCATAAGTCGACAAATTTCCTGTCGACTTTACGTTTGAATGAATTTTATTCACGATTAGTTCAATGGAAATTTAAAAAAAAAGATACCATTGTAATGTCTAAATTATACTCAAGAGATTTCTATGAAAAACATAAACAAAAAAAAAACGCGGGAAACTATAAACAATAACTTTTTTTAAAAGCGCGTATATTTACTCGTGTTACATATACGACATATAGGTCGATAGTTAAGAGATTGCCTTTTTTGTTTGAAATATAAAGATATATTTATTATAATTTTTGTTTAAAATATAGATAAACTATTTAGTTAAAATAATATACGACCAGTTTAAAAAAAAAATAAACATTTAGACATTATATAATATGTTTTTTTTTCAACTATAAGTAGACTTATTCTACTCGTAAATCTTGCGTCAAGTCAACAATAATAAATATATAGACTTGTATTTTAATATTTCTATGTTTTTATAAATTTTTTTAATATAAATATATGTAAAAATAACAAATAAACTTTAAAATATGCGTATAAAATTTATTTTACGACGTCAAGTTAAAATATATGTGCATGCGTTAAAATCGTTAAGTCGACAAATTTTCCATTTCTTTTTAAAAAGGCGCTTAATTGATCACTTAAATTTTTTTTCTGTACAAATTCTTAATCTACGCAACATCTGTTAGTAAAAAATGAATTAAAAAAGAAAATTTTTTACGTCGACTTAAGGTGTAAAAAATAATCGCG